AGGGACGGCTTTCTGCTCTCCCATAGTAGAGTACATCGTACTCTAAGGCCCGTATTCACATACGTTCCTTCACGCAAGGACTCTCCTCGACTTGAAAAAGTCGATGGGAGCACCGTCTCTTGGCAGAACAAGTCACTGCATATCGGCAATATTCTGCAGCGATTCTTGAGAAGCGCAACGTCAATTTAAGTCGAGCAGCGGCGCAGTGGCCAACTCAATCAAGTGAAGGGTGGAATTCGAGTCGAGGAGCATTTCTGAATACGGGGGGTAAATCGTTAACCACTTTTTTCTAAACACACTTGTAGCTGAATGTTCAAGCCGACAGGGCCTCGTGAAGTGTTAGGCCAATGGGACGGCTTTGTGCTCTCTCTCCCATAGTAGAGTACCTTATACTGGGGCGACGAGTTTCTGTGGAAGCAAAGCCAAAGCTACGTAGGCGGAGCTTCTGCACATGTGTTACTACGCCAAATAGTCCGTTTTGTGCGATTTTGGTTTCGGTTTCGCAGGCGCATCCAATTTGTACTTTTTTTGCCCCACCACCATGCAATAAATCTTACATTTATTTGAGAGAAAATAAATACAATGTTCATTGTTCAAGGGAAAGAACACGAAGCTTCTTTGAAGCCTTAAGATTTATTTCAGAAAAAAAAGTACGGCCGAGCAGATACTGGGCGATTGGAACAACGCAAAAACCCCAAGAAACGATTTTCTAAATTTCAGTGCATACTTGGTCGACATCGTTGTTTTTCCTCCTTTAGCGACTCAAGAACTTTCTGGAGACGCTCACGTTATTTTTCAGGGTACGCGAAGGCATAGAGTTTCTCAAAATTAACTAGAGGGCACTCTGGCGCTGCGATTGTTCAGCAACCATGGGAATGATGGGTAGTACACACATTTGCCTAGTCTTCGTACTTGTGGGCGGCGAATCGTACTTGCGGCTTCGTTTATTGCTGTGTTTCGGTTTTGTTTTGAAAAAAAGATTGAATGCTTTTGAACTTCGTAAGCCAATTTGAAAAGCAAGTCTAAAAAAAAGTAAATTGGTGAAGCGCAACTGCTGAACATTTGCTAATACTTGTTTCGTAAGAAAACAGCTCTAAGCCACACGAACACACACGGAGCCAAAGGCAGGCCACAAGTATGAATATTAGACAAATGTGTGTACTACCCATCATTCCCATGCTCGCTGAAGCGCTGTGCGTTGCAGCTCCCATAGACACTAGCGCCAGAGTTCCCTCTAGTAAGTGTTGTGGGAAACTCTGCGCGAAGGCAACGATGGGAAGCAGAAGTCTCGGCACCGATCGGTCGTGAGCGGGCGTTTGACGTTAGTAAATCCAAGTGGGTGAAACGCTGTCTTTACTTGGTCAAGAACGCTGTATTTGCACAGTCAACAAAGTAATACACACAAACGCGTCTATTACCCAGGCAAAGCGCAAGGAACGACTCTCTTCGACGCCGGCGGAAGCGGTATGACGGTACGCGATATTCAGCGTTATCTTAATTATAATAAGGAGTTTTAGAATAACGTTTGCAGCCACTGTGGGCATAGCGGGCGCTATATGAGCTTTAGAATAGCGTTTGCTCCGCCTAGGCAAAAGTCTAGGGCCTTGAATTCAACCCGACCGCAAACCCAAATTGCCCAAATGGACGTAAGCTACACACAACACTTAACGGGCCTTGCGGGCCGCGATCGCCGCACGTTATTTCGAATTTTCTGCGGGCGGTCCGTGAAAGTGAACGGCGACTCGCGTTACGACGCATGCGCAGTGGCAGCGATCGCACCGCAAGGGCTCGCGGTGCGCTATTTTAAAACGCCCTAATATTAGGCTGCCGAGACACTGACCACGTATGCAACGCAATTTAGAAAAAGGGTCATTGGTTTCACGTACAGTTTCCAATCGCCCTTTTTCTTCCAAGCAGCTGGTGTAATTGAGAACTGGCAGGTCGCCGGTGTCACTTTCTTTCACTTTCGCTGAAGGTACCACACGCACAGAACGGCTCGGTGATTGCATGTGCGTGACACAAAATATTTCACGACGTACTACTGTCTTCGTTTCTCTCTGCTCGATGAATATAGATCACCTAATGAACACACACTCATGCTCGCTCACAAGCTTGGATGTGAACATGCTGTAACCTATCGACGCCATCGTTGTTTACCGGGGCAGGGAAAAGGTGAAATGGCACCACGGACGGACAGACGGACGGATGTACAGTGGCTAGAGTAGGCACTGTAACGGACGGACGGACGGACGGACGGACGGACGGACGGACGTGGCTATGGATATGGCAATGGCTATACACTTTAGATCGGGCGGCGGCTAACGCCGCTTAGCCGTAGTACTTAGTGATCAAAAACTAGATTTATCTTTTTTTCCCCTTTACATGGTGAAGTTAAGCACTGGCACTTTGCAGTGAAGGATTTAATTTTCACTCGTGCCTTGATTGTAGCCACCAATCAGATAACCCCCTTCTAGTTATTTCTACCCGCTCAAACTCGATTTTGCCCTCCCTGTCCCTAAATCCCAGTGCCGTGAAAAAAAAAAAAAAAAACGCGCCGTCATCCTGATTCATATAGTGATGCCCTTTACAGAACATTATCAAGTGTTCGGCAATTTCCTCCTCATTTCAACACACGCTGCATACCGTGTCTACCCCTTCGTATTTGATCCGATAAGACTTGTTTCGCAATACTCCCGTTCTGGCCTCAAAGAGTAGATAACTACCGCGAGTTTTATCATAGATTCTTTACTCGGCAATTTCCTGCTTAAAACTTCGATAGATCTCTAGTGCCGAATTGTTGATCATGCCAATTTTCCACTTGTCGGTCTCCGTTTCCTTCACCTTCATCTTAACCGATAATTATTTTTGGTTTGGCCCCCTGCTGTTTTCTAAGTATTTACCTGTCAATTTTCTGATTCGCTTCCTCCATTTTGTATCGAAATTCTTCATGTACAAGTAGCTGAAAACCTTCATAGCCCAACGCTCCTCCCCCATTTCTCTCAATCGCTTCTCAAACTTGATCTTGTTACTAGCTTCCCTGCCCTCGAGTGATGTCCATCCCATATCCCCTTGTACTCCTTGATTTGGTGTATTCACGTTAGCTCCTAAAGCAAGCTTACCTATTTCACGTTGTTTAATTTCTAATCTTGCTTAAACCTCTGATCTCATGCACAAGACCGAATTGCCGGAAGTCCGACCAGAAACCAAGACACCTTTCCGAATTCCTCTCACAACATCATACCTATTGTAATTCTACAGTGCCCTATTTTTCATCACCGCTGCATTCCTTTTCCCTTTAGTCGTTACGTATACTCCTTCATTATCAGTAAAAATCATGACTGCTGCTTTTTTCTTACTGTATCTCAAATCTAACTTATCTCCCTCATTACCCCAGATGTCCATCAATCTCAGCAAATCTGTTCTGTGTCGTTCAAAGGACGCCTACTTCGTTTGATCTCAATTTTTTTTCTTGTTCAACTCTATTCAAATCGACAAGCACGGGAAACAGCATATACAAGAACTCAAAGCAAGGGGGGGGGGGGATCTTCAAAGAAGCACATTAAATCTTACACTGCTCAGTAGTAATGCACAAGCTGGCAACTCTTCAACCATCGTCAGTACATATTTCAGTGTACGCGGATGATATCTTCCTGTGGTCATCAGAGTATGAATGCAGGGAGGTGCAGGATCTGCTTCAGGAAGGCATAGATATAACTGTGCCTTTTCTTTGGGTGTGTCTAGAAATTTACTACCACGATGATGGGAAAGCCGGCTCTAAGTAGCCTACCTTTGAATATTGTTTTCTCAGTTGTAATTATTAATGAGAATGCTATCATCGTCATAAACACGTATGTGCCACAAAAAATTTGTGCTAATCCTACTTCACACAACCTCAACTAAAAAGATGAAGACAGCGTCAGTTAGCCCAAAGAATGGCATGCGAGTTACAATGTAACACCACTTTGACGTAATACTCTGGGCTTAAAAGAGCGCTACTACTACCTCAAAAGCCTAATAAATAGTGTTTTACATACATAGCAGCGATACCAAGTATCAGAAAGACTGCAAAACACAGAAATGCGTCAGATTCGTGTAGGGAACGTCGCCATAGCTTCGCTGTTCTATCTGTGTAGCAAAGCGGGGATGGTTGAACTTTTTTTGCCACAATACGCAGAAATACGTTCGATTTTGTTGCGCCACATTTACTGTTTTAGTGCGGAATATTGTAAAATGTCCCTTTGATCTTTGTTCTCCTTTCAACAATGAGTGAAGGAAACAAGTGTAAACTTAGGGGCTCGCTTTCTTTGCCGGGCACAACAATAATGAGAACTAGCAAACAAAGATGCCGAGGAAAGTATAGGAGATATTATAGGAAGTAATTGTTATGTAATTGGGAGCGCTGTGAGGGGCTACGCATCACGCGCGTTCACGCGGCATACAATATGAAATTGTTTATAAATATGTTCTAGTGTATATCCCAGTGCCGTGTCACTAAATCCCAGTGCCGTGAAAAAAAAACGCGTCGTCGTCCTGATTTATATAGCGATGAGATTTGATGAAGATCGCCGGACTCTCCAGTGTGCCTTGAATAGACTCGATGACTGGCCATTTAATGAAGCAAAGATCTTAGGAGCCTGGTCGCGCAGCACATCAGCACAGAAAGCAACACGAGCCCTCCTGAGATACTTGACAGCAACTTCGTTGAGAGACCGCCTGTGAAACCCGGCATTGTGTGTGTGTGATGTGACGTGCCTATCCTCCTCTCTCTTTTTTACTCCCCTCTTCCCCTCCCCATGTGTAGGGTAGAAAACTGGACGCATAGTCTAGTTAACCTCCCTACCTATCCTACAATCCTTCTCTCTCTCTCTCTCTCTCTAGTGTATATCTACCTTTGATATTCTGTAGATGTGCATGTCTCTAGACAAATCTACCTCACTCATTATTCCGCGTCACAAATTTTGTGTCGGTGCTCCATTAAGCGCCTGACGTGTACCGCGCAGCCGCAGCAGCGCCACAGAGGACAGCGGATGCCACGGGATGCCAACCTCTGCCGGCAGCGCTGCTGACGGAGCGAGCGGTGCCCACAGAGCGAGCGGCGGCGGCGGTGGCACAGCCAGCGGTGTCCAAAGAGCGAGCGGCGGCGGCGGTGGCACAGCCAGCGGTGTCCACGGAGCGAGCGGCGGCACAGCCAGCGGTTCCCACAGAGCGAGCGGCGGCACAGCCAGCGGTTCCCACAGAGCGAGCGGCGGCACAGCCAGCGGTTCCCCCAGAGCGAGCGGCGGCGGCACAGCCAGCGGCGTGCGCGTCGTGTCGGCGCTGGTGGCGGCCGCCGCGCTGCTCGGCTGCGCCCTGGCTGACGTGGACTTCGACGTGGCCTCGCCGTTCGAGAGCGACCGATCGCTCGTCGCCACCGTCCACAACCTGGCCCTGTTCAAGCCGCGGGCCAAGCACTGCATCAAGAACGTCATCAACTATCGAGACGCACCGCCGGACCGCAGAGGGCGTTTCCACATACTGCTGGGCCGTAAGCACACACTGTCTGCTCACGCTGTGCCGTGCTTTGTCGTTGTTAGCTGCGGGATATAAGCGCCATTTCCTAATCTCACGTAGCTATGACAGCTGCGATTACCGCTTTTGTTACGATAAGAACCGCGTGGGCACTCGAGGCACGTTTTCGCCGTCGCCTTGATGTCTCAAGTAGAGTTCGAATGCGAAGCGAATGCACCAGAGGCGTGTACAGCTTTCCCGATGGGCGCGAACTGCATGATGTGGTCCTGCAATCCGTGCTCTTATTTATTTATTTATTTATTTATTTATTTATTGTTTATTTATTTATTTATTGCACACTGCAGACCCGCAGATCCAAGCAGGTAGGTAGTTTCAAAATGACATAGTTAATACAGAAAGTGACATCCCAAATTCTTTGGGGTGGGTGTGTCATACACTCATAGCAAACACAAAAAAGTGACATGTAAAACTATTTCGTGATTAATGTGAATAACGCGCGTAATGAACAAGAAAAAAATATGCTACATGTTCCTACTTCATTCTGTTGCGCGATTGCTGTAAAAATACAATAAATTCAGAACAAAAACATCATTTTCACTCCTCAGGCCAAGAAAATAATAAACACATATGCATGCAATAAAAATGATACATACAAGAAAACAAAAACACTGCATTAAATTATCTGAAACATGAATTCACGAGGCAATACTATTTTGGTGCGAAGAGAAATGGATAGTATGAGGATGCCTGAGTTATCTCATTCCAGTCTGAGGCCTTGGGTGAAAAATATGCATACTTATAAGCGTCTGTTGTGTTAAGTTGTTAAAGATTTAGCGGGATAATTTCTTGTGGGTCGGCTTGGTAATTGTGTCAGGTACGGAGATGGGTCAATCTCAAGTTTGTGGTTGAGAAGAGAAATAATGAAGTGACGTGATAAAACCAGTCAATTTAAAATTCGTCCGATAGGTCATCCATTTGTTAAACATACTCTCGGCATCCTAGGCTTATCATAAACGTACCTGCATTTTGACCTCGAGCAACTTGCGTAATTAACACCCTATATTTTCTATCTCTCCTTTTTATGAAGGTATGTTCTGCCGGGGTCTACCATGGCTCCACTGACGTACTTCCGTCACGGATATGACGCTGTAAAATGAGTTCCAATAGATTGCCAAAAAAAAAAGAGAAAAGAAACATTTATGTTGCGGGGTTTCGAACCATCGACCTCTGAATGCACAGCGCGTGACGCTAACTACTGGACCACAGAGCGTTTTTTTTTTTCTTTATTGTCTAGGCCACAGAGCGTACATTGTTAAGGGAGCTAACGACAAGTCATTTATATACACCATGTACCGTCGAGGGTCCTCATAGCTCAGCAACTTTAGCACACTTTCTTCATAAGTAGCGGGACGCGCGCGTTGGGTAAAGCCTTTAGCGTTAGGCGCACCAGCTAAAGGTCGTCGCACCGCGCCAGCCCAGCCCACACGTTGCTATGCGCGTGCGTACCTCCACATGGCGTGGTCAAAGCGCGTGTAGACGCCATCTTACACGGTCGCTCCCTAGCATGTGCGCTTATCACGGTATGCAGGTGCTTTGTCCCCTTGTGCTTCCACCGCCAGTTTGCTTTAAAGCTACAGTGGTTAAATAAAGCACGAAAGTCACTTCGCTCGCTGCCACGGCCGCGTTTACGAAAGGAGCACGCTGCTCACACACGAAGATGCAAGAATTGTTACAGCTGTTCGCGTTCGTCTTGTGTATACTTGTGCGTTCGTTTCTTGTGTCCTTTCTGTTTGAGCAGCGTGCTTCAAGTGTCGAGCTGTGACAGTTATCCGCGCTCGTCCTATGTGTGCTCATTTCGTGCGTGTTTTAGATGCGGAGCATCTTATACTCGCGCCTTGTAGTGCGCCGTCCGCGCCGTCCGCGCCGTCCGCACCGCTTCTCGAACATTCGACAGCTGACGCGCGCGCATGCGCCGTCGCGCCTTCGCCCACTCTTCCACCATCTGTGCATTCCTTCCTCCTCTACACACCGCGCGCGCTTCACTCCTCCACCATCTGTGCACCCTTCCTCCTCTACACACCGCGTTCGACATCTACAATTCTCCTGATTCTCCAGTGGACGCGCATGTGGCGTCGCGCTTCGAGAACATTCAACAGCTGACAGTGCATGCGCCGTCGTGCTGTATATATACTCAAGGTCGGCGCTCGCTCGCTCAGTTGCCGCTCGTCGGTTGGTTTGTACGGCGCGTCGACGTCCAAGGTCGCGGTGAAATGAATTCCAACGAATCCACAAACACAATGATCGACGTCCCTTCGACCAGCGCCGCCCTTTCGCATACGTGTGTACGTGTTCACTCATTTAACACCCCCTCCTACAACCACGTTAACCAATTTAGCCATCGACCCAAGTAAGTCGCAATTTAACACCCCATTTCACAACCACGTTAACCAATTTAGCCATCGACCCAAGTAAGTCGCACTTTAACACCCCGTTAACCAATTATATGGTCCGCATCCTCCTCAGTGTTCCCCCGAGGGAAGCTGCGGGCAATTTTTTTTGTTTGTGGTGCGCGCGGCAAATTTCGCGCCGATTGCCGTTCTTTGCTTGGCATTGCAATTCGCTGCTATAGTATTCATTCATTTCCCCTTAAGGCGAAACAATGCAAAAATAAACGCACAACTTCCTCTGCTAAGACACGTTTCACTTTCGTGTTATATACAGATTCTCAAAAAGAGAAATCAGCCACGTTTTTTTTTATTTGTTTCTTAGGCACGGGATGTTACTGAGTAAAGATGTGCAAAACCCCGTATTTTTTAGGGCTACAACACGAAAAATATGCATTATATATAGGATGTTCAGTGTATATAAAGCTTCATTTTCTTTTTGTGGGGTGTCCAGAACAGTGTTATATCCGTTACTTATGTTATATCGGTTGTGTAGTTGGACACATCTAGCTAAACATTGCCTGTTGGTTTTAGGTTTGTAGAATTCCGGCCTGGCGGGCATCTCGCCTAATGTTGAGTGCTTTCCGATCTTATGAATTCAGGTATGGTGGAGTACGTGGACCAAATTAACGAGAATAACTACAGGACAAAGATCAGGTTGCTGGCGAGAAGCGGCAGCATGCTCCACAACAAGTTCAGCGATGGTAAGTACGTGGCATATCCAAAACAGCTTTTTCAGCACAAAAAGTTGAGCGAGTGCCGCAACGATCCACGCTGGTCGTAATCTTTCGATGACCTCAAGTAATTTCCGTTGTTTATCCTGACATCTAACTAGCTTTTATGGAAACCTATGCTCCGATATCACATCTGCTCAATGTAACCATTAACTTGAACCAGAATAAGACATTCCTATTGTTTTAACTTTTAGAGAACCTTCATAAATTTTGGAAATCCGAAAGGAAGTGGTCGACCGGAACTATTTGATTGATGTGTGGGGTTTTGATATGTGCGATTGATTTCGTGATGTGTGGGGCGACCGGACCGGTTGCTCGGGCCACTAACGATTCCCACGGTCCCATAATGCATTCGCCTAAGAGTGCCCAAAAGCTAAAGCCATCATGTTTTTCTTTTTAGCCGATAGTATGTCTCCCCCACCAAAGCATTCTGCACCTGACATGCTTTTTCGCACAGCCTCCAATATTGGACTCGTTGCAAGCTTTCTGCACCTGCCCTGGTTTCGGCTTGCCTCCGTGATAGGTCCACCTTTACCCAATAGACTATGTGATGACGTCTATCATGTGACGTCACGTCGGGTAATCCCTCGTGACTTGATAATGGCGTAATCGAATTGGGTAATCAGAGATATCATGATGACATCACTTGTCACCAAATGACATCAGGATTTTTCTATACGTTACTATAGTGTTCCCGTAGACGGTCATTTTTCGAGCTTGATGAGGCATCTAAATCTCTCGCGTTTATGTTAACACTGTCTAAACGGGCAAACGGGGAAAGTGCTTAACAGCGCAAACGACACGATGGGATAGATGAGACGGGAGACGAAGTGGACAGGGGCGTTTCCAAAAATATTTCTGGGAAATGGGGGGGGGGGGGGGGAGGGTCAACCATACCAATATGGTCGTGCGTGCGTTTGTGTGTGTGCGTGTATATAGTGCCACTAGTACAACTTCTGAAACTATTATTTCCACAGATGCTGGCATGCTTGTACGTGCCGCTGTTCAGAAGAGGACAAAGATGCGCGTGCAGAGAAAAACAATAGTCGTACTGCCGTTGTTCGAATCAGTTTGACGTCCTTGTGTGCCGTTATCAGCAGGTTACAGTTACGTTGTAACGTGACAATAGTATCTTCACTTACAAAATGGAAAACTTTAGGGGATTTCGATCCTCCCCCCCCCCCCCCTCAAGCTGCCCTACGGCAGCGGGGCCCACGACACGCGTTCGAGCCCCTTGTCTGTGCCTGCGCTGCTCGTGGTAACTCGGAAACGTGAAGATCCCCACTTTGCGCACCCGGTCCAGCCGTAGCCGAGGCGTCGTCAATCACGCGCGAAGCCGCCGCGCATCGTCGATTCACGGAATCCCGCGGCATGCACCCGTTTCTCCTCCTCCTCTAACGCCATCTCTGTGCTCGCTGCATACCTCCCGTTGCACGCGCAGCTGTTGCTGCCGTTTATGCTAATGTTACTGCCATACGCCCGCGCGGCGAAAATCATGACACCACCGACCACGGCCTGCGCTTGTATTCTGCTAAAGACACGAAGACAGCTTCGGGGGGGGGGGGGGGGGGGGGGGGGCTAATTGGTTAATAAGCACACCCATACGGGCGTCACGCGGGAACTATTTGGAGACGCTTCGTGGATTGCACGACTGACGGCTGTCTCCTCCGCGATGTGCTCTCCTAGAAGACCGCTGATTGATTGATAGATTGATTTATATGTGGGGTTTAACGTCACGAAACCACCATGTGATTACGAAAGACGCCGTTGTGGAGGGCTCCGGAAATTTCGACCACCTGGGGTTCTTTAACGTGCACCCAAATCTGAGCACACGGGCCTACAACATTTCCGCCTCCATCGGAAATGCAGCCGCCGCAGCCGGGATTCGAGCCCGCGACCTGCGGGTCAGTAGCCGAGTACCTTAGCCACTAGACCACCGCGGCGGGGCCCTAGAAGACCGCTGGCTAATCGAGGACCCGTCCGTGAACTTGTCTAACAGTCTTTTAATATTTCCTTTTCTCTCTATCTTTCAGTCCCACCTTATCCAGCCCCTTGCGAACAGCTGCTGAGGTGTCCTTCTTAGCTGGAGACAGTTGCGGGGTTCAGTTTTAAAAACGACAGTCTTTCTTGGGGACCTTCGACGCAAAAATTTGGTCTGTGAGTCTATCTGTTCGTCTATCTGTACATTTGCTTGTTTGTCCACCTTTAACGGTAACCTAAACTGCACCAGACGATAGCCCAAACGGCCGACCCCATCCGCAGTGCCCACCAATATTGCTCAAAATCCAGCGTTCTTACTTGTGCGATTGTCAATTAAAAAGCAATTATTGCGCATAGCTAAGGCACCGAAAAATGTCAATATTCTGTATGTCTGTCTCTTACTAGATAAAGGCATGCATGAGTAATTCTAAGGACCGTAGCGTTTATCACGTTGCACTGACTATGCAATGCTTGCACGAAAAGGCAAGTTTCCAACGCTTTGCTAAGACGACACGGTGGCGGCACCTACCCGTCGCCTTGCGTTCTACACCTTATCACCTCCGAGACGGGCGCGCTGGGCGCACGCGCTTCGTTTTTCGAGATAACTGCCAGATAGCGCTCATGTCTCACGTGTGACGTGACTTGATGCGATCGTTCGCCTCCGCTGCACGCTCGAGGCACTCAAATGCAGCACCTCCAGAATACCATGCACCAATTTTCTTACGCAAAACATAAATAAACGTTTCGTTCACTCTCTCCAGATGCAAGACTATCGTCTTTCGACGACATTTGCAGTGTAACATGCCAATACGGGGCCAATATTTTTCTTCCCTTTCTCCTTTAAATTAATTCCCACCCCCCACCCCCTGGGCACTTTTGACCGCTATCAGTAGGGATCAAAGTAGTCGTGTCCTCCCAGTCACGATCTCGCTCCCTGATCACGATAATGGCTGTGACGTCGGCCCCAAACTCGAATCGCATTAGGTTGGACTGTGTAACAGCGATCATTGTCGATTGCGATCGAAAAATACTGTCTGAATCAGCGTCCATAGCAATTGACAGTTTCGTGTGCGAGTATATATACTGCAACCCGTGACACTGTGCTGTTTAGGCCCAGCTGATTTGCTACAGCATCGAACGCGTTACCCAAAGGTTGTAAGTTTGAAGTGTGTATCAATGACAAGTAGTTCTTTCATGCACTTCAAAGGGACATTAAAATGAAACAATGAGTCGGTTTATAGTGATAAATTGTTGTCTGAGAACTCTAATGTCGTTAATATTAGAATCATAAATATATGGAACATTCTACCCCCAGACATCATCTTTAACATCAGCTATGCATAATTTTAAGAACTCCGTTGAGTCACACTTTGTAAATAATACTTAACTTGTTTCTTTTGCCCACTCCTCATGTAAAACCCTGTGATGTGTACAGGGTCCTTGAGGTATTTTCAATAAGTAAAGTAAATTAATTAATACAGAAGGAAATCGACGTGAAAGTTTCAGATTTCGATATCCCGCCGCAACCTCCAGGAGTGACGCCACGAATTTCAAACTGCATATTCTTCTTCTTTAGGCTGCATTGACACAACTTAATTTTCTGCAACTTGGTACGTAAATTATATGACTCCCTCAGAGAAAATCGTTCACTTAATACTTGCTCATTAGGAGCTACGTAGAACCTAGTAGACGCCGTGAAAATCGGTGCCGTAGGCGTTTGGTGTGCTTATTTAGAGATGGTGTCACCACCCACATTTTCTTTCTGCGCACTTTCTCGATCACTAAGCGCGTTCTCACGACAAGAGTGGCGATTTTCAAATAGATACACAGCAATTTATAAATTTGAGAAAAAAAAATGACTTCTGTCTTCAGCGCGTAACTTTAATTTATATTTAATTATGCCACGATGACGTCACTGCAGTTAAAACCTGCAACCAACCCGTGAGTGAAGAACGTGGGAGGACAAACATTGCTAGAGCAACGTTTAATGGTCCTTTGCTTCTTTGATGCGATGTGTTTCGCTTAGATTGCGGTGCAAGATGAGGTAATGCTGCATACGAATGTTTTAAATACATTAAATAAACGTTTAAGGGACCCTTTAATGAAATTATATATATATATATATATATATATATATATATATATATATATATATATATATATATATATATATATATATACATGACTTTATGCCTTTAGGTTGTATACGAAGGATTATTGGTCAGCTGCCAGTTAGTAATAAGTTCAAGTGCTACGTGATGCCAAACAGGCTCATAAAGAGTGTGCCACACTCGCCGCCATGGCTACAGTGGCGCTGACTGACACTCCCACGTTTAAATTGACATAGATACCCAATAAAGTGGCTGGGTGGATAGCTCTCGTGGTAGCTCAGTGGTAGAGCATCGAACGCGTTATTCGAAGGTCGCAGGTTCGGATCCTGCCCACGGCGAGTTATCTTTTCACCCACTTTTCTTTCTTCTCATTTACATCACACTTGGCCTAATAACTTCCCCTATACCTTCCTGGGCATTATTGTCTGTTAGATCTCATTAATATTGTATATATATATATATATATATATATATATATATATATATATATATATATATATATATATATATATATATATATATATAGTTGTCTACATGTTGTCTACAGCACAATGCGTCTGTTTTGTTCGCAAACGATTTCACAACAGCGAAGATTTTTATTTTATAGTTTATCCGTTATTCTAACAATAATGTTCGCGGTTTAACGCCATAAAAGACACGCCGTAGTTGAGAGCTCCAAAATTTTCAACTTTCGGGTCAGAGCCGAGCCCCGTGACCACTACCGAGAGGGGCTGAGACAATCTACGCTTTTTTATGTAGCCCGAATTCACTCTCAAAAATAAAGGCCGGCATGGCATGTTCACTAACTAAATACTAACCATTCACTTGTCACATAAAGCACTATAGCCTCTTAGTAAGGGAAGGTAGTAAAATGCAGGT